GGTTACTTAAATACTTTCTTATTCGTCTTACATTTGTAATGTAGTAATACGCTGCTTTACACGTGTTATTGATATTAACTTGAAGACTCACGTTACTACCTATCCATGTCCCTAAGTTCTTGACCGACTGAACAGGCGACACTTGAGCATCCTCTACTGCAAGCGAGTCAACATGAACCTTGGATAGTTGCTGACGGGTGCCTATTACTACAAACTCTGTTTTGCCATCATTGATCTCCAGTTTGTCACAAAGCATCCAGGCTCTTATCTCATTTACACACCGCTCCATAGCGGCAATGGCATCATCGGTACTTGAGGCACAGCCAGGTTTAAACGCTAAATATAACTGCGTATCGTCTGCATAAGCATGAACGCGAGGCAGGTGTCTCTTGACAACTTCAAACAGTTTACTGGCATACAGAGTAAACAGTAACGGCCCTAAACATGACCCTTGAGGAACTCCTTGATTTAACTGTAGAGATTCCGAACACTTGCCACTTAGTGAGACACGCTGAGAACGTCCCGATAGGTATGACGCAAACCACTCCAGTGCTGTACCTCGGATCCCAAAACTTGTTCTCAGACGAGATAGTAACACAGAATGTTCCACCGTATCGAAGGCAGCACTCAGATCCAACAACACAAGCAGAGCAACTTCCTGACGATTCATTGCCATTCATATATCATTATATATCTTGAGTAAGGCTGTTGCTGTGCTGTGACCTCGTCTATACGCAGATTGCAACAAGGGGTTGAGATCATGTTCAGAAAGGTGTGCATGTACCTGGTCAAATACTGCACGCTCTACCAATTTCGACACATACTGCAGGTTACTAACTGAACGAAGATTAGTGAAGTTATTAATTCCAGCTTTTTTGTAGCGAGGATCAATAAGGGCTTCCTTCCATACCTTCGGAAAGTGTCCCCCAAGTAGCGATGAATTGATCATCTTAGTAATAACAGGTAACAGATGATCAAGTGATTCTACTACAAGTTTAGTCGGCATGGGGTCTAGATTACACGTTTTCTTTGATGACTTCTGAATAAGTGCCAAAATGTCAGCTTCAGAGAGGGGCTTGAACTCCGACAGTATCTTTGCATCACTGACTATAGGGTCATCTGGTACAGTATCCATATCAGCGATAACGGTGGAGTCTATTTGATCACGTATCCGCATTATCTTCCGCGCAAAGAATCGCGCTATATCATTTACAAGTAAAGACTTATCATCATAATCAGGACACGACAGTGTGCTATCATTCTTTCCAAGCAGCGTCCTGGTGGCACGAAATAACCTCCCCTGGTCACTACTATTATTCTCAACAAAGTCCGCGAAAAACTTGCGTTTAGCCTCATTAAGGAGATGCGTCACGTGATTCCTCCGCTTCTTGAATAGCTGAAAAACAGTTTCCCGTTTTGTTTTCTTCCATTTTATTTCTGCTTTTCTGCGTAAAAGCTTTGCCTTGTATACGTCGTCATTGTACCAGGGTACAGTAGGCCTTGATACAATGGTCTTCGTTTTAAGTGGTGCGTGTGATTCGATAACGCTAGACAGAGTGGTGTTATAATTACAGGCAAGAGAATCCATGTCGCAAGCACTGAGGATGTCTGGATGAGAATTGGAAAGAACATTCCCACATAACGATGACTCCCCCATATCACACGAAAAGGCGGAGATATCAACAGACTTGGTCCTCCGGTACTTCACCTCCTTGACAGTATTAAGTGGCTTAGATGACGTTAGCCTGCATAGAATAGCAGCATGATCAGACAGATAGCGGTCAGCCTTAGGCGTGTCTAATATAATATTCTCAGTTAGGCGTGTAACAACAAGATCTAAAGTATGTCCATGAATATGTGTTGGTCCTCTGACATGCTGCTGTAACCCCAGTGATTCCAATAAATCCAAGAAATTACGCGCATCTGCATCGCTTGCATCATCGACATGAATATTCATGTCCCCTACAATTAAAAGCTGTTCCTTGGACGGGAGGATGGATTCCATGTAATTAGCAAACTCTGAGCAGAAAGTCAGAACTGTGACCGGATGATCTTCTGAATAGGGAGGACGATAAATAATAACTACGCGAAGCTTTTTTGTAGAGCGTCCGCTGACCATCCACTCGGAAAATTCAAAGGATTCATGTTCGCCTCCATCAATTCTCTTCACGTTAAGTGAATCACGATACATTATTCCGGTCCCACCATACATTATTCCGGTCCCACGTCCGATCCTGTTTTGACCCATGAAACTTATTTCTTACAGAACCAGTGTTCAAGGAGCATAACAACAAAGACTGATTTCGATTTCCATTCAACAAAGGAACACCATTTGAACAATTGATCCTAATGAGATGGTCACTGTTACATGACGATCGCTTTGTTCCCTGTCTACAGCCTCCGCCATCTGCTGATCGTGAAGGTATTTGATAGCTTTTGTCAGGTCCCAGGTTTAGTTTAAAAACCAGATCTCCCTCTAACAAAGGCTGGAATGTTTAGACAGTATTTGCATAGTAAATGCATGGGCGACTCTGTCTTCTCTCTTTACGAAGCCGTAAGAATCTTGGCCTGACAGGTCTAACAAAACAGACGAAGAATGCAGACGAAGAATAGATGTGATCCAAGCAAGTACTCCTAACTTGACGATTCACCTCATTAACTACCTGCGTGAAATTCATACCGTGAACCGCTTTAATTTACCGATGTTTATCAAAGTTCTTCTCTTTTCTTCCATCAATATTCACATCGTCTAAAAATATTTCAGGATACACACTCAGTGATCTTTGTAGAGTTTTAGCCTCGCGAGTAAATAACGCGTTAGCTCGGTGTTTTGCCAATCTTTTTTAGGGTAAGAACCTTTCAGAATTCGGCAAAATCCTAGGACCCATTTTTTTGAAGGTAAGAAACGACTTCAAAGTATTCAAAATAGCGTTTTCCGATTAACTTTACTGAGCAGTATTATTCGCTCGATGGAATGTTGACAATTACAGTTTAACTGAATAGAGGAGGTGGTTTTGTAAACTCAACATTTCCTTCAAAGGCGAATTTTCCCCAGAAATAAATTCAACTTATGACCAAAAAAAATAAAAGCAAATGTTTACGAATTTTCGAGATTTCAATGTCAAGAAAACTACAGAGAAACGGCACCTTACCTCGAGCAACCGGGCCACCATTGTCTGCACTTATTAAAGAACAACACAAGCTGCACAAAAAACCTTTTTCCCAGACTTGGCGAGTCAACAGATGAAAACAAAGCTCTTCTTTTCTTCACAGGCTGGGAAACAGTTCTGGCGATTCCATATAACACATCAGGCCTTGTTTGCGAAAGGATTTTTTCACGGCGATTTGATTAATTTTGCAATGTTTGAAAATTCTATAAAGATCAAACTTTTGCACATACCGATTTTCACACATGAATTGATCCGTCAAAACCGTCAATCAAATTGAACTTCAGTGGTCTCCTTACTGATTTTTAATCTTGGTGAATATAGCTTTAGGAATATTAACCTCGCCGCGAATATTCCGCTTCTATTCACCTCGTGAAGTGCTTTTAAAATTGTTAATTGTCCAATGTGAAGCACGGTACAAAATATCAGTCAAAGCAGGAAAAGGTGTTTTCCATATGATTCCTGGTCATGTCCTTGAGAAAAATACTCGAAACCTTTATACGTTTTTTTCCTTCCTCTTTCAACTGAAAATACGTCCACACGGTCGCTTGTATGGTCGTCTTTGTAGGACCCGCTCATTTTGTGTTCAACGCTTATCTGGGCTGCAACGCTACTTGTCCTATTTCCAGCTGTTCCAACAAAAACGATGGTCCACGCGGTCGCTTTAACTGTATTTCTACCGTTTCTTGTAAAGGATCCGTTTGTGTAGAAGTTTTAACCAGTTTCTATGGTAGGTTCTTCGTTGAAGAAGGACACTTTCTCAAGTACACACCCTCCACATCGTCCCTCCACATCGTCGCTCCACTTAGGCAGCCATTTTTTTCATTTATTGATCCCGCCTCGCTTTGGCGCGCTGAATATTCCGGAAGTCAACCAGTTTACCGGAAACTGTTTCCGCATGGTCCGCATAGTTCTAAAAATAACTTTTTTGTAGATAAGATATCCCAAAGGCGTGACTGGGAGACTCCTTCTCTGTCCTATTATGGCTCTTGAAGTTAATTATTCAGCTAAAAATATCCTATTAGCTTGACGATGACTGCGTTTCCCTTTTTCCAAATTAAAATTCTTTTTGGGTGTTTCAAACAATATCTGAAATCTGTTCTGTTCAGTAAAACAAACTTCTGTAGTAATACCCTTGTCTGTGCGCACAGTAAGATAAGTAAACGTCTTTTTTGGTTTCTTTTTACTTCTCTACACTCTTTTTATTTTATAAGAATATATTTTATAAGAATATCGAGGCAGAAATTTGCGAAGATTTAAGAATATTTCAAGAATAAACTCCAGGCTGAAATTTTGAAAAGGATATAGTTTTCGTGTGTTTTTTTTGTGTTGAAAATCTGTAAATATAGTACAGATGTACCTTTTTAACTGATTTCTTTCTCTAAACAACAAAACTAGCCAACAAAACGAAAAAACCTGCACTAACCTTAATTGAGACCCTAATGTATTCTGAAACGAAAATGTGATAAGCTATAATTTAAGAATAATTACGAGAATATTTTTAGCCTAAGATCGACAGGAAAATAAAAATATTCAGCCTGGGTCGTAAAAACAACATTCTTAAAAAAAAAAAGTGTATGTACTTTAATTAGTGTATTTAGCAGTCTAGTGTTGTTTACATGTATTGTACATGTTATCTAAGTTTTTCTTTCTTTTTTTTTTCTAGGTTATTTTTCCTCTTAACTCACTAATAAAGTGGAATAAGGAAAATATAATATAATACAATATAGTATAATAATAATAGTAACACAGTAATGACAATAATAATAAAAATACTGATACTGTTTTGATGCCTTGAAAGTCATCGTAGCATTCAGTTTCTTCTTTATCCCTCTTTTTCAGGAATTCAGTCCTCCCTAGGAAAAGAATAAATAAATAAATTAAGCTTATTTTCCTCCTGTAGTTGCAATAAGCCGTAAATCAACGCTAAAATTACCTCAAACAATTTTGATGCCGGTAGTTGTTTTTCGAGATAGACGTAGTCCATTCAACAAATAGAACGACGAGCAGTTTAAGAAATGGCTGAAAACAAATCAATTTTTCCAGATCCCAGAAATTGCATAGTCTAAAACTTTGAACAAGGCCATAGCAGTTTTGGATGCCAATTTGTGTAAGTCAATTTTCAGTAAGATATCCGATTTGCGTACCAATTATTACAAGCCGAGTTAAAGTGAATACCCCATTTCTCTCCTAATTAACCTTTCTTCAGTGATTCTGAAACTTGGACAATTGCCTGGCTTAAAAAGTGATCAGCTTATTGCAAAACAATCAGTCTTTTCTCTCTTCAAAATTTTTTGATTACTTAAAAATAGATGAATTAGAAGGTCAGCAAAACTCGTTTCGGCTCTATACTTGTAAATTAGTGTCTATGATAATTTAGGCAAGTGCCACAGGTTCGTCAGTTTTTACTCCGCTAAAGTGCTCCCCTCTTAAAATTTAGTTATTAACATTATCATCATCATTATTATTATCATGGATCAAATGTTATTGCCCTAGAACTCAAGACAACTTACATTTATACTTTGTAATACAATTTTCCAAGTGCCTGTTGTCTCTACTATCCAAAAAATATTGATCGCGTTCTATGGGTGTTTGCTCAACAGTGCTTCCCTGAACAATTTTGCGTTTTGTAAGAAAAAACTTGCTAAAATCCTCTAGTACTTCGCCTCGCCTTCCGAAGGGCACGCAAGTTATATCAAACTTCTTGAAGAGCTCTATTGACGTCTCATTTCCTTCCATCCAAAACAGGTAAAAAACACGCCCAACTTTATGTGCAACAAGTTGTTTTGCACAATTGTAGCACGGCACATGAGTCGTGTAGATGGTAGCCATCTCCGGTCTTTCGGAGCAGTACTGTAGGGCGTTTACCTCAGCATGTAGGCCGAGTTCGTCAGTCAGTGCTTTATCCATTTTCTTCTTTTGCTGCGTAGGATCCCCTTTGAAGGTGCGACCCTTTATTTCAGCTAGCTCCTCTTCAGGTGTGTTGGGAAGGAACCCGTTCCAACCAACTGCTAGGACTGCTCGAGGACCACGAGTTCTTGCGCGACGAATTACACAGCCAACACTGGGCTTTCCCTCAGCATGCCTTGTTACTTCAGCACGACTGGCTGCCATCAAGGCCATTTTCATCCACATGACATCAGTGTTGTCAGGAAAGTCGTCGTAGCCGTTACTTAATTCCGCCTCAGCCATTCTGTCTTCAGTTTGTAACCAATAACTTAAAAAAGAAAACAAACAACATAAGCGTTTTTCTCTGATTTTCCACTTTTGAACTAATGCATTTGATAAATAAAAATTTTTAAGTCCACTGCAGTTGTGAAAAGCTCTCGATTTAACAACGTGTATCAAGACTGAAGAACACGCCTGAGCCATGCATGACTCTGCCCCAGAAAAATGAATTCTGAGTTTTAAGTTCTTGAAAAAAGAAAGAACTTCATCACTGTGGCGTAACTATTTAACCTGAGATCAGGCCCAATTTTAGCAGTTCTCATATACTCTCTCTTCAGTGCTCCCGCTAAAATCGCCTTGCCCGCCCTAATGTTATTTACCAAGTGAAACGAAAATAGAGCCTTATCTCAGGTTATAACTATTTGACTCTACAGTGTAGGTAAACTGAGTTCACTTTAAGCCGTGTTTAGTTCTAGAAGCAAGTACTAAGTAACAACCTTATAACATCATAAGTATCAAAGTCCTGTGTGTCAGCTTTGAATGAAATATGTTAAATAATTAATACTGTCAATATATATTTGCAGAAATGGTTGGTGAAAATTTGTATTTGTCAAAAATAAATATGTCATTTAAAAAGATTAATTTGAAGGGAAACCCTTGACATCCTGGTTTCCAAAATAAAAATCGTATACGGAAGGATGTAGTAGTGAATATATACGAAGGATGTGTTAGTGAAAACGAGGAAACCACAAAAACCCAAAGCTTGCGGTCCAGTGAAGAACTCATCAGCTGGACGAGGATGAGCCAAATTGATAGTGAGTTAAAGAAATAACATATGTTGAATATCTTATCAGCTTCAAGAGTTAAAAATATATTTAAATAACAGTGTAAATAACTATTTATAACTAACCAAAAAAGTGAACTGCTGCCTGCTGAAGTTTGATATGTGTGTCACAAACAGGTAATATTAAGTAAGGCAAATTTGTCTCGAAACACCCGGGTCGAAACAGTACAAGCCTGCTTCAGTTTCAGCTAGAAAATGAATCTTGAAAACAAAATAAGAACGTCTCATTGGCTCTGCCAAGACTACCAAGACATAACACACATGATTTATGCATACACCTGCACCAGACAAAGGAATCGAATAATTCAACAAAGCCATTTACAACCGCATATGCTAATAATGATTTTTCATCAAATTTCCCTGTTTCTATCTTTTGATCGGGTAAAACAAAACTGTGCCGCATCTAAAATTTTCATAAGCAAAATATTTAAAAAATACTTACAGATCCGATCTGTTATGGAGCGGTATCAACGCCAAAAATAAAAGTACAACTAGATGATATGATGGTCGATATTCTTAATACGTTACTCTGTTTACAAGATACGATGGTTTGGCCGCACAATTAAATATTACAGCTTGGAAACACGATACTCCGTCTACTGGACGCAATATTGCGGCATAACAACACGATACTCCGTCTACTCGACACGATATTGCGGCACAACAACACGATACTCCGTCTACTGGACGTAATATTGTGGCACAACAACACGATACTCCGTCTTTCAAACATAAGCTCACTTAACGTTTGCATGACAAGACGATAGTCCGCCTTCAAAACATAATGTTTCGGACATATTTCTCAACAAAACGCCAGAACCTCTTCACCTTCGTCACTGTTCGACGAACTGTGCGAGCCAATGACGCGGCGAGGCGACAAAAATAACACGATGATTTGCCTAGGAACCTGGTAACTAACGGTCAGTCTCATCAGACTGGGCCTATTCCTACATTCAACATGGCGGAAAATCCGCAAAGAATACGAGAATTGCTTTTGGATCGCTATTCCAGGACTATCCAAGAAATATGTAGAATACTGAGGCAATCGAGTGCCATGGATTGCGATGTGAGAGACAGTGTAATATTTAGGCTGGATTCTTTACGTCATCTCGTTGTTCGATGCGTAGACGTAGCTAATGTTCCGCGAGAAGTAATCCTGAACTTGCAGAGAGTTGTGTCAATTTTGTCGAACGACTTCCAAGACAGCCATCTACATGTGGACCAGGATAGATACCAGGCAGGCCGGATTTTCACACAGGACAGAGGAAGACCTTCTTACAACATACCCAGGGAACAACTGGAATTATTCATTGAACATGGTTTCAATACTTCAGATATGGCCACTATGTTAGGTGTAAGTGTTAGAACAGTCCAAAGGCGACTATCAGAATACAGCCTTTCAATCACTGACAGATATGCTGATATTTCGAATGAAGCTCTAGATAACCATGTCATGGAAGTCTTCCAAATGTTCCCAAATTGTGGTTACCGTAGAATGCTTGCGTTCCTCGAAACAAAAGGGCTACGTGTACAAGAGAAGAGAGTTCGAGAATCTATGCACAGAGTTGATCCCGAAGGAGTACTTCTGAGGACACTAGAGCTCCAAACAACACACAGACGGGGATATAATGTATATTCACCCAGAGCTTTGTTCCATATAGACGGTAACCACAAGCTAATCCGTTGGCGCTTTGTTATTCATGGCATGATAGATGGATATTCAAGAATGATTATTTTTCTAAGATGTTCAAGTAACAACAAAGCCTCAACAGTTTTCTCATATTTTCTGGAGGGTGTAGAGAGGTTTGGTTTACCATCACGTGTAAGAGGTAGGCCTTTGTGTAATCACTGTTAGAACGTCTTCAGTTTATTGGCTATGAATGATCAAATTAAAACATTATTCAGGGCTGTCACTGATTTCTGATGTAGGCGGGGATGTACAAAAGGTAGCTGGGAATCCAGCTGTTTTTGCATGATCAGTATGCTGTTTTTGTTTTAAAGTAGCTGGGGATCTAGTTCAGAATTATCAAAATTGGCTGGAGAAAATCCCCAATCCCTGGCCCTTAATGACAGCCCTGCATTATTTCATTCTTGATAGCCTGTACTTGATTAGAAGCATGTTACAAATAATTATGAATACATACAGCTGTACTCACGCCATCACTGTTAATATAATCTAGCCTATCTGAACCTAAGTTAATATATTTACAGGTGATTGCGGTGGGGAGAATGCAGATGTGGCATGGTTCATGCTTACCCACCCAGACAGAGGCCCAGACAGGGGCAGTTTTATTGGTGGCAGAAGTGTACACAACCAAAGAATAGGTAAACTCTCAACATGACAGACACTATTTGTACTACTGAGAGGCAATAGCCCACCAGGCCAGGGTGGAGACCTGGTTTTGATACATACCGCACTGCTTTTCTCACATGTAAATCATGTTGTTCTTATGCTAACTAGTCCACATTTGCATGAGAAAGACAGAAAGGTTTGCATCTAAACAAGGTCACCACCAGTGGTCAATTTTTATAAAACTTTTACAAGTGTAATTTACAAGTGTAGCTATTGTTTTCAGACTCTAAAACAATGGCTGCACTTGTAAATTACACTTGTAAAAGTTTTATTAAATTGACCCCAGGCTCTCTTCCACTCAAAGGCCAGGGCACCAAACACACAACTGTAAAATGGGCCATTCTACACATTATTTTGTGCAAATTTCTTTCTTTCTGTATGTGTCATTTTAGGCATTCAATGTGTATCTGTTTTAAACCCTAAAATTACTACTGACATTAATAATTATTTTACAGGAAGATGTATTATGCTAAATGTACCAGGAACAACAGAAAACTAGAATGTCTTTTAAATGTTTGCTTGTCATTGTGAGCTGTTATAAACAATAATATTAAAAGTGGTTTGCCTGATTCCTTACATTTAGAGAGGTTGTGGCGTGATGTGTTCACTGGTTGTACATATTTGTATTACAACCTCTTCTATTACATGGAAACTGTTGGATTGTTAGAGCCACACAATGACATACACCTCTGGTGCCTTCACTTTGTGTATCAACCTCGCATAGATCGTCATCTGCAATTGTTTGCAGAAGGCTGGAGTAGAAAACGGATCAGAACAGCTGGAAATAAAACCCCTACTCAGTTATGGTTCCAAGGGCTGTATGCTATTGCCCAGTCAGATTATGTCATTGCTCAAGAAATGAACAAAGATGAATGGCAGGTCAGTTTTTCTCTGTTGAAAGATGTCTTCTCTCTGGGGCACCCAACAAGCCAAATCAACCAAAAGCTTGAGAAAGAGGCACTTTTAAATTTAATAACTTATGTTGCTTGAAGTCTGTCTAGAGTGATGTTTTCGTTAGCTGGAAGAATTGGATCTATTTGGATTCCTTAGCTGAACTTTTAATTGCCTGAAAATGTTAGGGAACAAAGTCTTCATTTGAGAAAATGCTGAAATGATCTTTCCACAAACGTTTTATGCAGCTATTTTTTTCCCGAAAAGGCTAGCTGATGATTTTTACTGCCAAAAACAACAATTACGACCTTTCCAAAAACCTCAGAGGTTATGATTTCCCCATTGCCGATCTTTTAGGCCATGTTTCAGTTACGAAAATTTGAGTGCACTCTTTAACGGATTCCAAAAGCCAAAGGCGAACTAACCTCCACCAAACAGATTTCTGATACTTGCCGTTGGGTGCCCCTGTTCTTTCAGGCAGTAAATAATTATTATTAACTGCAAGTCATATTTTTGTAACATTTAGACATATCCCAATATCCTTGTCTGATTTTATGATCTGTATAAAAGTAATGTGATTTAGTTCGTTTCTTTTCTCAAGTTGCTTTAGCAACAACTTCTTTTGATGATAATGATGATGCTGATGGTGATGAAGCCCAATGTTATGCCAGATCTCTTTGGTGGCAGGTTATCCAAAACAGTGGTAGAGTGTTATTACTGATTGCCACAATCGACATAATGTATTTTCATATGCATTGCAGCTGTATGGAGTGGACTGGGATGGACCATTATCTCCAGAGGAAAATTGCATTGAAGTTCCTTATACTAGATGTCCTATCAGTCACAATGATAGCGTACTTTTAAAAGACGAAATCAATCCCTTAGATGACAGCACCATCCATGGAATTGATCTCTATGAAAGGACACTTCAATTTGTGACAAGCAGAATTTCAAGTTGAAACTATTAAGATTGATATGTGTAGTTACTGTAAAGTATAGAACTCTCAGTTAACTAGACCCCATACAGTACCAAGGACAATAATATTGTTGAAGATGAAATAGCTTTAAGGACCAAAAAAAACCAAGAGCCAGTATGCACCCCCATATTTTAACACAACATTTATTAAGAGAAAGGTAACTTAACCTGTAGCAACGCTGCTACTATATCTAAGTTGCAAACATTGTAATGCTACAAAATTTTCAAAATTACTTTAACTTGGAAACACTGCTAAACAATTAGACAATTTCAATGCATAAAATGTCAAAACTGGCAACATTTTTCTGACAAGTACAATTGTTAGTATACTTTTTTCCAAGTGAACATGGTCAGTGATATTTTCTAGACTAAAAATTAATAATGGCTGCTAATTTCAACTTGAAAACACTAAGAGACTTACAGTACATACTGTACCAACATGTATAAAATGACCAAGCATGATTGAAAGGTTTGGATAAAACTTTACGAATGCAAGTGCTTTTTTAAACTATCCTGATAAAGTGATGTAAATTATTTGTATTTGAACTTTGGCAGACTGCTTAATAAATTTATTTTCTACAAGATAATGAATAGTTGGTTACATGTACATGTAGTTCTTCAGCTGATGTGAGTGCTGTTAGTGTGGAGCAGGGATAGGATCAACCTTTGCAACAAATAGCCCACAAACTCACCCACAAGAATTACAAAAAATTGAGTCAAAATGATATTGTCTGACACATACATGTATCTTCTACATGAACATGTACACAAGTAAAATATTACAACTACATGTATATGCAGAACTGTTTATGTTATGGCACTGCATCCTGCTCCAAATAAATTTCATACTCCAAGTTATTATTACCAGTGAATTTAGTACTAAGCATGAACATTTCTGTCACATTCTTCCAAAGCCAACCTTTCCATGAGCAATACTACAGTCCATGAACCTTTTGAAATCCTCATACTGTTGATGAGTGGTAGGAATCCGTAAGGTGAGTGTACAGGTGTCTGCTTCAGCCAAGACCTTGGAAGGTTGCTGAGGACAGTACTTCACCCACAGTTTACATAAGGTGTCACGAGGCAACTGTGGATAACCAGTCCAGAACTGTAACAGGTCCTTGAGGGTTTCTTGTTCTGAATCTTCTTCTGAGGAAATAAAACCATACAAAGAATAACACAAGTCATACATTGAGCTGTGGGTACACAGTCTTATTCTACTCTCTAAAACATGTTAAATTAATTATAAATTCTTAAAGAAACATTCTCATTCTTTGAGCCTTGTATTACTGGAAGATCTACTATTTCTTATTATATTTTAATGGTTTTCAGTAATTGCATGTTGCTACCACTGTAGGTTTCTGACACACCTTTGTGAAGCTCGTCTTAGGATAAAAAAAATGCCCATATGCGATAGGTCAAAGTTTTGGTCGAAGAAAAAGTTACTTGTAATACTGGTATTGCTGCTAGCTGACAAAGTATCAATTACCAGAATCAATGTTATCATTAATTTTATTGAAGTAAGATAATTGTAAGCTGCAAAGGGCTTCAATTTAAACGAAGAATGCAGCAGCTATCTGCAATAATGTTCAAAGACTATGGAATATGGTATAATTTATTTAAAGAAATAGTTACTTGTGTAGCAGAGGGACATGCATTGTGTGGCACAGGCATATAAAAAATGATCTAAGGACAGATTATAAGATAACATACCTCTTGAAGCCACATCATCTATGTATTTCTCCAAGAACACCCGAGCCTCCTTTTCATCATCCACATTAGTTTCATCAAACTCCATAGCCAGCCGGAACATTCTAGGGTCTATGTTGTTGTACTGAGGGAACACATGTCCAGTTAGGTTAGGGTGAGTTCGCAAGAGATCCAACAAAGTAATTCCCTTCACTCGCACACTGGCCAATCCTTTCCTTATATCTTCCAGAGCTGGAATGCGCTTCATGATGACCTCGTACTGGAGAAAGCATTCATAAGCCAGAGACCTGTTGTCAGCAGTGATTTCCAAATAAGGAAATCCAGATGCATAAAGGATATCTGAAAAGCTCTCTCTTGTATCTGGACTTGTGAAAGAGGCTAGATCCTTTTCATCACATGTAATAAGCTTTAAAGATTGAAGAAGAAATAAACACATTTTAAAGGAGGACACTTAAAGCAACATTTCAGCTGACACTGAATATCTTGCAACAATGGGTTTTTATTAGGAAATCTTATAAATAATAAAGTTTTGTTGAGCTTGCTTCTGGTCAGTAATGGGGAGTAAAGAGAAATGCCAAGCATGGTCTACACTGTACACTGTATGTATGAAAGTAATAAGCTGGTTAAATAACAAAATTAATGAATTACATTGTTAGAATACATGCAAGCTCTTGGCAAAAATAGGTTAATAAATATCAATACTTGACACACAGGTTGTTTACTTGTTAGTGTTACCAAAAAATCTGGAAATTTGGGCTGGAATGTAAATGGAAGTCTAGTTTGGTCTTCCCAAATGGAAAATTTCTTGAGAAAATGGTTTTTCTGGAAAGGTAGTCCAAAATACCCAAATGGCATTTTGCATCTCATTTGCTCATTTTCCAGGCCTATCAGCTTGAATCGCACAGTAAGCCCGACCTTTGGGAATGTTTGTGGAAATGGAAATTGTGTGTCACATGGAAATTTCCCTGGGGTTTTTGGTGCATCCCATTTACTGCAAACATCAACTAACCACAAACCTGTTTTAGTTGTTCTCTCATACAGGGATCAGGGATGTCCTCCAATGCGATGTCTTCAACAGATGAATCCCGTTTGCCAGTGGCAATGTATTTCACAATGGCAGGAGAAATGCCTGATATTCCACAACAATTGTTGAGCACTGCATGCAGAATCATCTTCCCCATGATTATGAACATGCCACTTGACAACAGCTCATAATCATGTTTGGGTACAAGATGACCCAAAGCACCTTCCAAGAGTGTGATTCCATCTGGTGAACATTGTTTCATACTTTCCACAAGAAAGTAAAAGTACTCCCTTGTGATTCCACCAGCATCTAAACCTTCCTCACCAGCCCCATGAAATTGTACATTGAGAGGCTTTGTTACATCAAATGCTGGGTTTTTGTATTTTCTTATCATCTGTGTCAGCATGTTATGATCCCGGTTCACCTGCACATCAACCTCTATTCCAAAAGGTGAAACTGCACTTTGAATGAACTTTCTTAGGGCATCATCTTCATTTGTTATCATGCCTATGGCTGCAAGAGGTGTGTCTTCTATTTCATCAATTGCATCATCACCTATTGTAAATTTGAACAAGTTACTTATGAATACTAATGACATTAATGGTGAAGTATACTAAAGAAGGTTGAAAGGACTTAACAATCATTATGTACTTTGTGGCAGTAAGAAAAAAAAATATGATTCCACAATCTGTTGTGGAATTAGAGATAGCTGATGTCTGGACCAAACATGAATCATGTTGGCTAAAGTACTGAACTGAGATTTTCCTTTCCATACCATGCACAGATGATGGGGTTTCCTCATCTCCCAAAATTTTAGCAACAGCATGAGAAACTGTACCACAGTCTTCAAGAACTTGCTTGAGATATGTGATGTCATTTGCAGGAAACATTTGTGTTAACTGGTGAAGATCAGAAGAAGTTGTTTGGGATGGGCATAGGGTTGACCCTTCATTACTGGCACTAGATGAGGACCCTGTAAGTATAAAGGATATAATTCAAGAATCAACAGTTACCTACAAAGTACTCTCATAACAGATCTTAAATTTGTGGCTGTTTCTATCCAGCATCATATTGCAAATTGGCCTCAAAATGCAACTCTCTTTACATTTGCTCTGACTGTTCTCAGCTCAGGAGCATGGGTAGATACTTATTTTTTTTGCCTGAAGGCTACAGTTAGCCAATAACCTTTCCAGTCTAGTAATCAATGTAAAATATTAGATATCACATTCCAATTAAGATATCACTCTATAGCAGTTTTATGCAAAGATTGGTGTGTTAACTCCAAACAACTGCAACAATAATTAAAGGTACAGCTGTATTTGTTAAAATCACCTGTGCTAGATGAAGTGCTTGGAGCACTGGATGTGAACTCCCTTTTACAAAATAAAGTGTTTGGAGGTTCATCAGCTGAATCATCATCACTGGCCTATAGCAAAATAATTGATGAATTAAAAAATTGAAGGACTGTTTTTAAGGGAAATTTTGTGGAAAGTAGAATGTAAAAATATGAAACAAGATGAAACAAACAAAATTAAAACTGAATTAAGACCAACCAGCCACCTGGTAACTGCACAAACACAGTTAATGCACTGTCTACAGCTAATGGGTCACCAAGGAAACCTCTCACATGATGAATGCCAATTGCCTTTTGCAGAAGTAAACAAAGCCTTCTTACTTTGCAAGTTGAAATTACCAGTACATAAAGAGTAAGAGGACATACAATCCTCATCATTTGGTTACAGACACTAAGCACTTTTTCCACCAAACTACTTTACATTTATTCCCCCTACATCATAGAAACCATAACTAGGATTATATTTTCAAACAGATGCTCATTAAACCAGTCATATGCCCCTAAAGCAACCAGGCATAATTATATAATAATATTATTACATGTATGTCCTAGCATATAGCATCTTATCCCAACATTGCTCAAGCACCCCACTGAAACAGTGTGTGTTATGATTTCTTGCCTGTTTCACAAGATCTGCTGGAAAACAAATCATGTCTCCTAGTAAGCTAAACACTCACAAACCTCAACTTCAACCACAGACTCAGCAACCACAGGCTCATCAACCACGGGCTCAGCAATACAAATGCATTTCTTAAGGTGTTCCCTTAAGGTCCTTAAAGGCACTGCTATGCCACACTGATAGCATTCTTGGGTCTGAATGTTGACATCATCAACCTTCAAAAAAGAGAGAAGGACTTTTAATCAATGTTTTCTGTACCACCAAAATCTGGAAATGTTTTAGGCGCCTTCACAACTCATGAATAACCATTTCTGCTGTGAAACAGCAACTTTTCACAAGCTGTCAACAATACACACAACACATACCTCCTCTTCATCCAAAACCACTGGATCCATGGAAAGGCTTCTTTGGATTGGAAGCACATAAAGTATGGCAGACTTAATCCCATATGTGTACTTTAAATGGAATGGTGTAACCAGATGCTGGTGGTTTGATATAGCATAAGCTTTTCCCTTCTTGCTGCCTGTAGAGCTCAAACCCACCAGCCTCTCGCAGCTTTGGAAAATTGCTGAAAAGGCCTTCCTGAATGTGCTTAAAATCACCTTTCTTATTTTTAAACACAATCCGTCTTTGACCAAGACCAGCTTCCCGTAGCTCTTGTTTCATTGCAGTTGATGGAACTTGACGTTGATCTTTATCAGCTACAACGCAGAATTCGTGTGTCCAGGTTTCTTTGAGTTTGTAAGGCTGGAAGCGGAAGGAAGATTTCTTACTACTGGAACTTGGGACTGAGGCTGGGCTTGGCCACCATGATGACAAACTGCGGTTAGCCGAGGTTGTGGGTCCTGAAGCTGTTTGGCCTGATGCAGACTGACCTGCTGCCTGAGTCCTCGAGGGGCCTGGATATATACGCCTTGGAAAAATAGAGGTTACACCCTAATAAACTTAATACATGCACTTATTTAGAATGTCTAGCTATCTATTTATCTGCCTACCAATCTGTTTATAGAGCAGCTACTTGTTTTAGGTCAAAATGATGTTAACCTGTGTCAAAATGAAATTCCTTTGTCCCCTAATCCTAATTATTCATGAAATCATGAATAACTGGGTTGGGAGACAAAGGAATTTTATTTCGACCTGAATCTCAGTTGAGCTACAACACATACCAGGGGCACCCAACGACAATTTTCGGAAAAATATCTGTTCGGAAGACGATTTGAGATCTACAATTTTCGGAACATTTGTTGTATAATTTCTTGCTTGCCTGCCTCTCCTAGGATTTTCGAACATCTAAAAAATGGTATAATTGCCTATTTTTAACGGATTTTCACCCTAAAAAGGTCACCTAGAATTTTCGGGAGCCTTTTTTCTGGCTGAAATTTTCGAAAAGGCGAGTTTTGATCCCTATAATTTTCGGATCACTAGACTTTCAGCTAGGAAATCCGAACAGATGAAAAATTTTTAGGGGATAAAAATATGTCTTTATCTACTGTTTAAATACTAAAATACGTTTAACAATGCTATGTTTAAGTGGTTTTGAACTATATTCTCGTTGGGTGCCCCTGACATACATGCATATATCCACTAAAATCTAGTTTATATTTTACACTATGAAAAACAAAAGCGTCATGCAAAAAACAGTCCTGCCCGATGTGTAGCACAAAAGAATTCAAATGGAAACTTTGCACATTTTTTAAAATCAAATTTAGTGAAAAGATACATCGCCATATTGTTCATTCATGATTGCCACTCACTGGGAAAGAAAAAAAAATCCCGGCATTTCCTTCAAGACATTTCAGAGTACTGTTTAGACTATACTCATAAGTTATAAAATATTCATCAATTAAAAGAAATATCTGAAATATGGAAATAAGCATTCATGATTTGTAAATGGAGATCCATAGGATAATGAAACATATTATGACAATTTAAGCTTACAAACCTAACCTGTAATTTGCAAGAGCACGTTGGCCTTGGAGTTCTTCCAAAGGTGCTGATACGTTTCTTTCCAAAGGCGATTCTTTTAGTAAGCTAACGCTTCTTTCTAGAAGGTCCACCGCCTGCGAAAAAAAGCAGATTCTGCAAACCTACCGGCTGTCATTTGCGATCCTCGCGCTTGATCACGGTCACGATTATCCTCCTTGTCAGCCATGACACACAGAAGACACTCCGGGTCTGACTAACCGCGAACGACAGCGCCCAAATTCCCGCGAACATCATTTTGAGGCTGACCGTTAGTTACCAGGTTCCTAGGCAAATTATCGTGTTATTTTTGTCGCCTCGCCGCGTCGGTGGCTCGCACAGTTCGTCGAACAGTGACGAAGGTGAAGAGGTTCTGGCGTTTTGTTGAGAAATATGTCCGAAACATTATGTTTGGAAAGCGGACTATCGTCTTGTCATGCAAACGTCAAGCGAGCTTATGTTTGAAAGACGGAGTATCGTGTTGTTGTGCCGCAATATCGTGTCGAGTAGACGGAGTATCGTGTTGTTATGCCGCAATATTGCGTCCAGTAGACGGAGTATCGTGTTTCCAAGCTGTAATATTTAATTGTGCGGCCAAACCATCGTATCTTGTAAACAGAGTAACGTATTAAGAATATCGACCATCATATCATCTAGTTGTACTTTTATTTTTGGCGTTGATACCGCTCCATAATCTGTAAGTATTTCTAAAAAAACGTTTTTCACTAAAGCGTCCAATGGCAACACAGAATAGCCAAATTTTTTAAAATTAGTAATCGCTGCACAAAAACTACAAAAGACATTTATGTCTGTGGAACGTACATTCCACCATACAATTCTCGCTACTTTCGACCTGAACTATTTGAAGAGCTTGAAAGCGACATCGAGAAATTCTCCTCCCTCGGTTCAATTCTTATTAGGTCTTATTATGGGAGACTGTAACTCCCGAGCAGGCAAACACCCGGACAGTGTTTGTCAAGAAGGTAATAAGATAATAACAAACGATTTTTCTGAATCTTCGTTATGCGGCACCCAACGAAAAAGTTTTGATAATGATTTGAATAATCATGGAAAACGACTCTTGGAAATTTGTAGAAGCCCGGACTTAAGAATTTTAAATGGTACAATTAATGGCGACTCGTTAGGCAGACCTTCATTTCATGATAAATCGGGAATCAGTGTCATTGATTACTCCATATGTGACCAAGATTTGCTACGAAATATAACATCTTTTATAGTGAAAGAGCCTAACAGTTTATCAGATCATAGTCCAGTAATAACATGGCTTAAGGTTAACCGTCATTTAGATAATGATTCATCAAACGAGGCAATTATAAATGATTCTTTGACTCCTCTACCAAAACAGTTTTTTGGGAAAACGATTCGTCACAAAAATTTAGAGCTACATTACAGTCTGAAGGCATTCAAAGAATGATCCACGATTTTATGAATACTTCAACAATCACGATAAAATGTTGACATGAACCTTGATGCAGTAGAAAATATTCTTGTTTCAACCGCAAAACGCTGTTTGAAAATCAAAACAGCAAAAAAGGGACGTTGCAAAATATCTTCGAACAAAAAATGGTTCGACAAAGAATGCCGCTATAAAAGACATGAACTGCGGAAACTTTCTAATCAAGAACACAGAGATCCTCTAAACAATACCCTCAGGGAAGAGTATCACAACGTCTTAAAGCAATATAAAAACCTTTTGAAACATAAGAGAAACAAATACTATAGCAATAAGATCTGTGAACTTGACAATACGGTCGAAAATTCGAGCAATAAGAGCTTTTGGAACTGTTTGAAGTCAATGGACAACACTATGAAGGAAGCCTACACCCCTCCAATTTCTGAAGAAAAATGGATGTCCCACTTTCATTCTCTGCACTCGAATGAACCCCTTAATGAACAGCAGGAGGCAACTGATGAGTTGCAGAATTCAAAGGATATTACAACACGATCTCACTCCTTGGATTACCTCATCACTGAAAGTGAAATTCGCACTGTAGCTGGAAAACTAAAAAACAACAAATCTTCTTTTTTAGACAAAATCCAAAACGAAATGATCAAATCTAGCCTAAACGAATTAATGCCTGTTTATAAAAAAATATTTAACACGATCCTCGACTCAGGAACTATGCCCCAAATGTGGTGTGATAGCCTCATTACACCAATTTTTAAATGTGGTACTAAAAGCGTTCCATTAAACTACCGTGGAATTTGTATTTCTAGTTGTATTGGAAAACTATTTTGTTCAATTCTCAATCAGAGACTTCTAAAGCACGTTGGATTTCTAGCAAATAATAGAACGGCAGATCATGTCCTCACAATTGAATTGAATTGAATTCGGACATTAATAGACAAATATGCCCATTGTCAAAAGAAGAAAATATATGCGTGTTTTGTTGACTTTAGGAAAGCCTTTGATCCGGTTTGGCATGATGGGCTTCAGACAACATCGTATTCTCACCCGGGCCGTCACGCACAAACGCCGCCTGTGCCCGTGGGACCCGAACATTCAAATTCCCGCGCATCTGTGGATCCACGGGGGAACCCGTTGTGCATATATTCGTGAGTTTGGTATAGGTTGGCCTGTTTTATGTTGGTTATTCCTCTCTTCGTTAAAATGGACATCAGACACCTCAGTTGTCGCCCCACCATCCTCCCCTCAGCGATGGCACACTCTTGCGCCTTAGCTCCGGCTCCTTTCCGCCTCTAGCCTGTTCCAGGCTGAGAGATAGTCGGGCCCGCGGAATTGAGCAAGCACAGGAGCCGCTATGGAAAGCGCGATTACGAAAAGAAAAACGCCCTACACTTTTGCGTCTTCCTCACTCTTTCGCGCCTTCCCCACTATCTGAGAGCCTGGAACAGGCTATTCCGCCTCCGGGCTCGCCTCTTCCCATAGCTCGTCTCAACCTGGGCGCGTTTGGGAGTGTTGGCTCCGGGTGAGAATTTATAGCAATCATAGTTCAATAGACGAAAAACAGTGATAAGCAAAAAGTATATGTGGATTATTTACAGAGAGCTTTAGATTCTAAGAGTATACACGTACGAGATTTCCTCAATTCTAAGTAGTGCGCACGCGTAGACCAGCGTCATTTTGGCGGGAAAGCGTTATAGTTGTTGTTTTCTACTACGAGTTTTAGCGAGAATGTCGCGTTAGCGGACACATCACACATTGTCACCTTTATTTAACCTTGGATTTACAGTTTAGCTCTTAAAAGCTAATATCTCCGAGATAAAAGAAAACGAATAATTAATTACATTAATCATTATCCTAAAAATAAATAAGTAAATAAAATAAAACAAAAGAAAACAAAACAAAAAAAGTAAAAGGAACTATAGCACTATGCAAAAAAAATCTAACTATACCTATTACTTGTATTATTATATTTGTTCAAACGAAATTTTTCCCACTTTGAATATGAATGTCGTAGACCTCAGGCTCAGACCATTTAAGGTGACTCGACCCAGTTTTTTTGGGGGGGTACCATCCTACTTTGAAGCTCTCTGGTATTCCCACCTTTACTTTTATCGTAAGTCTAACACATAGAATGGATAACATATAGATCAATCTACAATATAACATAACATTTTTGGTGATCGGAGTAAATGTCAAGTGGTTATAATGCCACGCCCCTTTGAGGTCTGAGTCGAAAATCTGCTGTTGCCTGCATTTTTTCGTGAAAATATCTCGGCTACACATAGGGCGCATTAGTGCCTTGCGCTGAACAGAGTTTCACCAAAATCGCAAAGACCCAATTCGAGAAATTCAGCGGTTTCCAAATTTAGGTCATAATTTATGCGAAAATGATAAGCAAACTTTACAAGTCAGCAAAACGCTTTAAGGCTTTGTAAATGCGCGCGATTTCGAGCAAAGCAAACATATAGAAATTATAGTTTTCGCTATTTGTTGACGTTTGTCAGCGTTTAAGAGTCCTTCTCACGAAAAAAACATTTTCTTAAAAACTCGTGGTTTTTTTCTCTTCAAATTTTTTTCAGGGCCACAATTGATTAACTAACTACCTGGATTCTGAATTTCATGGTCACTGAAAAACTGTAACATTATCTTCTATAAGCCCAAACTTGAGTAAACATTGAAGATTTTTAGCGTTTCGGCTGAGTTTGTGCTTTGGGAGTTGTCTATTGTTCCTAGTCTGTCATTATACAGCATTCTTGTTCAGCACGCGTGCAATGACCACGTTTGGCTGACTTCCGAATGCTCCGAATGAACGTAAGCCGTGAGTTGTTGTCTTAACGCAGGGAACAGTGAGTTTGTTTGTCGTAGCTCTCGCTTGATACAATCCACCTTGAAATCTTGGCATCGTGTCAAGATGGATAGTCTTGATAACTATGGCTTACATATTTTCGCACCTCGAACTATATAAATCGCTACGATTAATCTCATTTAAGAGGCCCTGGTAGTCCAAATATTTCTCGTTAAGACCTATCTTGAGCACCCTTTTGTTAAGTTTCTCTAGTTACAAAGTTATTTCATTAACCTGCGTTGCAGCCGGCCCACGCACTCGTCTAAGCCATTAATATAGAAGGTATATACAGAAGAAAGCTTAACCTCTTTCAATAAAGATAAAAGAGCTCATATTTTTGGTGTAAAAGATTTACAATGAAGCTATCCGGGATGTCTCTTATTTGAGCAAATGCGCGAAAAAACTTTCAGTTAAATCTCGTACTCGAAGTCGTTCTCGTCCGAAAATCTAAAGGTCTCTAATTTGATCAACAAGAAAAACGACCTTACGGCGACAATCTGTCGAAAGAAAAATAGCTTTGAGGACACCTCGCGATTACGCGCACTCCGATAGTACGGACAGCAGTCCCCAGTTACAGGACTTACGGAGATGTCAGGTCCCGACAGCTCAATCAAATATTCTTGTACTCTGTCAGTCTTACACTTGTTTTAACACACACCGAGAGTAATTAATTCTTCAAAACTCAGTTTCGTGAATGAAAAACATCTCACCCGTTTTTTATTGTCTTATTTTTCTCTTTGTTTGAATTTAGAACTCCTCTGTGACGTGTCAATATGCCCTTGTAACAAGAAATGAAACAAATGTTTTTCACGGATTTTTCATTAAATAGAACTTTTGGTCAGTCTTCAGGTGTTTCCGCTATACAGTTTTTCGGAGACCATACCGATATTTTTATGAAATTTTCACCTCTGACTAA